ATTCATTATTTTTGAAAAATAGGCTTAAAAAACACCAAATTCATCTCCAGATCAAAGTCTTATTGCTGCATTCCGCAAGCGCAACTCAAATTATATCTTTCTAAAGATATTACTTGCCAAAAATGCGGCTCTATTTTTCATGTCAGCCCTTCATGGTATGTGTAGAAATATACTGTAGTCTGTAGACTGTAGTGTAGGACGTATTAAATTAAAATGAATTATACACCAATTTTTAATACTTCAGATTGTTGTGGGGGTTTTTACTGGGTCAAGGAAATTATTGACAAGCAGAATTCAAATACAAAAAATAATGAAAAATGAAAAATGAAAAAATCCCGCTCCAAATTTTTGAAAATTGTGGACGAGAAACATGATATCAATTTTCATTGGCCTTAGGAAGATTTTGTATCACCCTTCACGTTATTTGTATCACCCTTTGTATAACTTCACGTTATTCACAACATCTGCAAGGCGTTAGAATTTTTCCACAATTTAACCGTTAGATTGTGGAAAAGAAATTGGCATGATCTAGTATCTTGATTTCTTCAAAGTACGTTTGACTCCGTCCTCAAGACAATTAAGCCAATTTTAAGCAGCAGCAATGCGGAATTACGCAACCGCTGTTAATTAGATTTATTGATTATTTCGTTCTGGGCGTAACCGCGGGGCGAGGGTACTAATTCCGCTCGGCTATTTACACCCAGGGAAACGAAAACATTAGCGAAGTCAAAAGTTCATCAATAATTGCAGGCGTGTGGCTACGCTTCCTCACTGATCTCAAAATTATGCCTGTTTGGCAGGAGTAGGATAAGCAAGATTTCGATTTTCACAAACTATATATTTGGAAAATCGTTTCATACAATGAGCTTTCAAGCAATTTTGCTTTGAAGAAATAAGAAGAATGGATTTCTTATGGGAAATCGTGAAATTTTGAACAAGCTTGCTCTGAATGTTTAATGTTTATGAAAATTGTTGCTTTAATTTTTTGGCCACATTCTTTCCCAGAAATTGTTGTATTTCTCAACCCCTACAATCCTGTGCAAAAATTCTTGAGACAACTAAGTCATTGCCCCTCTCCCCCCACAAACAATGTTTGACAAACGATACAAAGGTATATTGTCAGGTCAAACGTTTTTCAACAATGTATAGGAGGGAGAGGGAGAAGTAAGCCTGGAAATAGAACGAAATGTCAAAAGTTTCATTATTTTTGCACGAGATTGTAGGACTGCATTCCGTGAGTTTTCTGAAATATATTTTTGGATATACGTATAGAGCGTTTAAATTATACGGTAGACACTACACTATTACACACTTTTAGCGCCACCCCTGAGTTCGTATATATAAGCTTTTGACTGATATTAAGTAAAACAAGGTTTGTTGCATAATGTCTACAAGATACACAACTGTATGAACGGACAGAACACTGATACATAGGCTAGTAACTAATTTTCACACGATACTTGTTGCACTAAAGCACTAAATGTATTTTCCTACCTTGTTGATTTGCCGGGCAGTTATATTTTTGATCACTAAATATAACTTCAAAGATTCAAACGGTTTCATAAAGCTAACAGACACACCGGGCAAATGTACATTATCCAGTACAACAAAACGGATTTATTTCTAGTAATAGCCTGTTTAAATAAAGTTCATTGCTCGCCATCATTGAGTGTCTTGCTTACAAATTAAAAAAAATTAAAAGAAAATTAAAATGAAAAGATTATCTCCCTTCTTAAATACGAAGCCACTCGCCTCATAAATTTGTTCTTGTTGTAGGATTCCAATGTCCAATAGCATTTTTAGGCAGACGAAATGTTTTCAGACGATAACATAACTATATACCAACCATGCTGCATTCTCTTATTAGAGTAAACGAGAAAAGAAAATGAACAACAACGATTTAGAATTGGCATCAAAACAAAAAGCTCTTCAAAAAATTTTAAGCATTCATGGGGAACACCATTCAGAAACTGCTCTAAGTTATAACAACATTGGAGTTACACAACATGAGATGAAAGATTACAAGTCAGCGTTGGAGTCACATCAACTCGCTCTTCAAATCAGATTAAAACTGTTTCGAGAAGATCATTCTGACACGGCTAGAAGTTATGACAACATTGGAGCTACACAACATGAGATGACAGATTACAAGTCAGCCTTAGAGTCTAAACAAAAAAGCTCTTCAATTCAGATTAAAACTGTTTGGGGAAGACCATTCTTACACTGCTCGAAGTTATGACAACATTGGAGTTACACAACATGAGATGAAAGATTACAAGTCAGCGTTGGAGTCCGATCAACATGCTCTTCATATCAGATTAAAACTGCTTGGAGAAGACCATTCTGAGACTGCTAGAAGTTATGACAGCATTGCAGTTACACAACATGAGATGAAAGATTACAAGTCAGCGCTGGAATCATATCAACATGCTCTTCAAATCAGAATAAAACTGTTTGGAGAAGACCATTCTGACACTGCTCTAAGTTATTACAACATTGGAAACACACAATATGAAATGAAAGATTACAAGTCAGCGTTGGAGTCACACCAACATGCGCTTCAAATCAGAATAAAACTGTTTGGAAAAGACCATTCAGACACTGCTCGAAGTTATTACAACATTGGAAGTACACAACATGAGATGAAATCCTATAAGTCAGCGTTGGAGTCACATCAACATGCTCTTCAAATCAGAATAAAACTGTTTGGAGTAGACCATTTTGACACTGCTCGAAGTTATAACAACATTGGAGGTACACAACTTGAGATGAAAGATTACAAGTCAGCGTTGAAGTCACATCAACAGGCTCTTCAAATCAGATTAAAACTGTTTGGAGAAGACCATCCTGGCACTGCTAGAAATTATGACAGCATTGCAGTTACACAACATGAGATGAAAGATTACAAGTCAGCATTAGAGTCTAAACAAAAAAGTCTTCAAATCAGATTAAAACTGTTTGGGGAAGACCATTCTGACACTGCTAAAAGTTATGACAGCATTGCAGTTATACAATATGAAATGAAAGATTACAAGTCAGCGTTGGAGTCAGATCAACATGCTCTTCAAATCAGAAAAAAACTGTTTGAAGACGACCATTCTGACACTGCTACAAGTTATCACAACATTGGAGTTACACAACATGAGATGAAAGATTACAAGTCAGCGTTGGAGTCACATCAACATGCGCTTCAAATCAGATTAAAACTGTTTGGAGAAGACCATTCTGACACTGCTAGAAGTTATAACAGTGTTGCAGTCACACAACATGAGATGAAAGATTACAAGTCAGCGTTGGAGTCACATCAACATGCTCTTCAAATCAGAATAAAACTGTTTGGAGAAGACCATTCTGAAACTGCTCGAAGTTATTACAACTTTGGAGGTACACAACATGAGATGGAAGATTACAAGTCAGCGTTGGAGTCACATCAACATGCTCTTCAAATCAGAATAAAACTGTTTGGAGAAGATCATTCTGACACTGCTCGAAGTTATAACAACATTGGAGGTACACAACTTGAGATGAAAGATTACAAGTCAGCGTTGGTGTCACATCGACATGCTCTTCAAATCAGATTAAAACTGTTTGGAAAAGACCATTCTGACACTGCTCGAAGCTATAACAACATTGGAGGTACACAACATGAGATGAAAGATTACAAGTCAGCGTTGGAATCATATCACCATGCTCTTCAAATCAGATTAAAACTGTTTGGACAAGACCATTCTGACACTGCTAGAAGTTATACCAGCATTGCAGTTACACAATATGAGATGAAAGATTACAAGTCAGCGTTGGAGTCAGATCAACATACTCTTCAAATCAGATTAAAATTGTTTGGTGAAGACCATTCTGAGACTGCTAGAACTTATTCTAGCATAGCTGTCACACATTATGACATGAAACACTATAAGTCGGCTTTAGAATCTAATCAACGTGCTCTTCAAATTAGATTAAAATTGTATGGTGAATATCATTCGGACACTGTTGAAAGTTATCATACAGCAGGAGTTATTCAACGTGCTCTGAAAAACTACAAAGCAGCATTAAAGTTGCATCACTATGTTGTACAGACTAGATTAAAGCTGCACGGGAAGTACCACAGTCAGACTGCTCGCAGTTATTGGAGTCTTGGAACCACACAACGTGAGATGAAAGATTACAAGTCAGCATTAGAGTCACAACAACACGCTCTAGATATCGACTTCAAGTGCCTATGTCATGATTTGGGATTTTAAATATCTTTGGTGCATGCATTTTATGAAGAAATACAATATATCTTTATAAGAAAATATACCATCTTCATAGGATTATCAGCCCTCAAAGTTACCGGATATGACATCAAATCGGGAATTTTATACGCTAGAGACAAAATAAATCTAATTTGCAATTCCCGGTTTGATGTCATATCATGTAACTTTGAGACCTGATAACCTGTGAAGATGGAATATATTTTCTTTTAATTAAAGATATATTGCATTTCTTTATAAAATATACCAATGATTACAAATAATAAATTACACAAATCATGACAATAGATACTTTAAACTTGTTTGGAGAGAATGTTACTGACACGGCTCAAAGTTATGATATCATTGGAGACACACAATGTGAGATGGAAAATTACAAGTCAGCTGTAGAGTCATATCAACATGCCCTTCAAATCAGATTAAAAGTGTATGAGGAAGATTATTCTGACACAGTAAAAAGCTACGAAAATATTGAACTCGTACAAGTCGACGGCATGAAAAATGTTGTGAGCATCATTACACCAGAAGGAAAAAAGTTGCCAGATTGGATGAAATGTTAATAATGAACTTTTTCCGAAACTGCAACAAAACATGGAATTAGGGGCGTATCCAGATCTAAAGAGTGGGGGGTATCTAGTCGTCAAATACACAGACCAGTTTGGACGCATGGTTTCTCGGAAAATATTTCTATTTTTAGGGTCTGGGATGCTATTTCATTTATTTTATAGACAGTCTCACGCCTTATGATAATCTGATAGCTACATATTTGTATACTTTATGTTATAGATGAAAGCATTACGAGGTTACACCCGGCCTCAGTTTGTCCTCCATAAACGTACAGGATCTATCTCATTTACTAATCGAGGCGTTAATGCTTGAATTAATTGCAATGTTTAATTCAACCCCAGTATCTTGTGCTGATGAAATCACCTCATGCACTTGCCGAATCAATTAAGAAAACCCTACCAGACCTAGACCTTTGTATCTCTGCGTTAATTAGTCGGGCGTGGACGAGAAATCTTTGACAATAAAAGCCAGCCAAATCAATGCCTTGCTTAAGGAGTCATGTTTATAAAGGAATGGCACCTCATCGGAAATGAGAATATTACTGAAAATGAACTTAATCGGCCGTGGTGTTGTCTTTATTGACTTAAAAAAAGCTTTCGACACAATTGACCATCAAATCCTGCTAAAACTTAAAAACTATGGCATTGATGAGCATACCTAATTTTAAGAATTTTTTATCACTGCACATTTTATGCCAAAAATTTCCGAATGACTAAGAAAATTCCCGAATATTCGGAAATTTTTGGCGACCTCCCCCCCCCGTCGGTCAGTGTACCATTTTAAGGGTCAAAAATTTTTTCCGGACATACCAAAAGCCAGATATTAACTAAAAATTGCCTGAATCTCATGATTTTCGTACAAAAAACATATACTATTATTTAATTCGATAATTTGGCAGTCATCATTTCAATTTCAATTAAATCATTCTCTTGTGTTAATTAACAACTTATCAAAGCAAATTTTATCACTGCACATTTTACATTTTATCACTGCACATTTTACTTTTATCACTGCACAAATTGGTTATCACTGCACACTAAAATTAGGTATGTTGATGAGAATAGTTTAACCTGGTTCCATTCCTATCTCACTGATAGAATTCAAAAGTGCCGGGTTAACGATCAACTGTCGAATTCTGTGCCAGCAACTTGTGGTGTTCCCCCAAGGTAGCAGCTTAGGACCGCTGCTATTTCTCATTTATGTCAATGATTTACCAAACTCTCTTAATTATGCAACACCAAGGATGTTTGCAGATGCATGGCACAAGTGTCTGCTATGCGTCCAATATTCAAGCACTTTCCAGTCCTGGAATCTTCTTTCCAATTCAAGGATTTTCCAGGATTTTCAAGGCCCGTGGACACCTTGTATAATTATTGCGCCGCAGGCTATGTTCGTCTGTGACGCGGCGGGTTTAGAATTCAAACTATTAGACAGTGATAAAAACTTGGTACAATCTCCCATGACAACCTGGTTTCCAATGATGTTATATATAATTTAAAACCAGGCAGTTTTGAAAACTACGTGAAATTTTCGACATAGTTCGACTGATGATGATTGTGAAATAATTTCGAAAATTTGCGATTTCTAAAAAATTGAAAATTGCTTTCACTGCAGATGAACAGTCCAAAAATACCGTTTAATTTTCCATCAAATGCCGCTTTATTTGATAAAATACATAGAGGATATTACACGGTGGCGCGAAGATGCAACTTTTTATCTTCGACTCCCTTCGAGTGGTGAAAACAATATTTATTGAACTTCACACATTTGTGTACATAAAATGTAGAAAAGGATAGTAAACAGTGTCCGTTTTTGCGCGCTTCAACTATCACAGATAACCAGCAGGGGCCGGTTGTATAAAAGTGTAGTTAGCGCTAACTGCAGTTAAAAAGTAGTTAAAAAGTGGTTAACTTTAATCACGTAGTTAAACTAACACCGCGGAAAAACGTCTGCGCATGCACCAAATTATGAAAATATGGCGGGGAATTTGAATATCAATTTCTAAAACAAAAACGTGCTTATTAATTGGTCAAAATTAGTAAAACAAACGAGAAAATATAGCAAATCAGTAGACTAGACATTAATTGAAAGCGTCCTGGCATTTAAAGTATGGAATGAAATATAATTAAAAAGTTAAGAAAACTCTCGAAAAGTTAAGCTTCTTAACCCACTCAAATTGTAGAATAAATCCTAAAGTTTAATTATTGTGAACACGAAAATTTTTTATATTTGGCGACACAGTTTTTTTTAAAGAAATGTATCTCAAACGAAAATTCGGAAATTGTCTTTGCTTAGTTGATAAACAAAATGTTTCAGACGATAAATTTGTCAACAATCACCTTTAGTTCATGTTCTTGTACAATACAATTTCTTGAACCTTCTGGCTGTATTTATTCCTAGTTTTTAGAATGACATGTTTATTTTTGCGCTCGAAATCTGGCTGTAAAGACGCACAATGAAGTTACTCCTTTTTACCGCCATTTTGAGCCTTCGGAAACGTTCGGAACAGCTTCTCATCAAGTTCGCAATACTATTACAGGTAAGGTTGACGCATGCGCAGACATTTTTCCGCGGTGTTAGTTAAACCAGTTGTATAAAAGTGTAGTTAGCCTTAACTGCAGTTAAAAAGTAGTTAAAGTTAACTATGCTTTAGGGTATAGTTAACTGTCCAAAACGTAGTTAAAAATGGCGTTTGTATAGGAGTGAACAACATTTTTCAGTAAAACAATAATGAAAAGCAACGCTTACCTGAGATTTTCAATCGCTATCTTTCCTGTGAATGTTTCCTGACAATATAAACTATAATATACCACACAATACTATACCACAATATTATACCATACAATAATACACCAGACAATACTATATCCTACCATACCACAAAGATATATATTACACATTATACCACACAATATCATGCCAAACAATACCATGCCATACCACACAGCTCTTCACTGTATTATGCCATAATATAATACCATGCAATATATTGCACACCATACCATACCATACCATACCATACCATACCATACCATACCATACCAAACCACATCATCCATACCAAACCACACCATCTGCAAGTAGCTATACTGTTTCGTAATGTTTACTGAAACCTACCATAACCAAACTTAAATTTTAAGCTTCTCGAACGGACAGATGTCTCGTACCTGAAGGAAGGACTTTGAGTTTCTCTGTACTCCTGGTGTCCCAACACGCGATTTTAGGACTGTGTAGATCAATACTATCTGGCATTAGAACTAAAATGTATCAAGGACATACAGATTAATTAAGGTTTGGATAAATAAAGAATTAATACAAGGTTGCATTGTGAGGCACAGGCCCCTTTGGGGGAAATCGGCACTTCCTGGCATAACCCGTTGGAAAAACTAGGAGGGTGCAACTCCCCCCCTCCCCAGAAAATTTATCCCTGGACCATTATGTAATCCTCCGTATGATTGTATGTTGCACCAACAGCATATTGTGGCGCAGCTTTTGCTCCTGTATACTATACATGCTAACTGCAGATCGACCTAGAACGACTGTACTGTACTGTGCTGTACTGTGCTGTGCTGTGCTGTGCTGTGCTGTGCTGCGCTGCGCTGTGCTGCGCTGCGCTGCGCTGCGCTGCGCTGCGCTGCGCTGCGCTGCGCTGCGCTGCGCTGTACTGTACTGTACTGTACTGTACTGTACTGTACTGTACTGTACTGTACTGTACTGTACTGTACTGTACTGTACTGTAGTACTACAGGGTGTCCCAAAAAAACGCAAAACCATTGCAATAACGTAATGTTAAAATTTGAATGCCCTATCACTAAGTTAAACGCAAAGATGCGTAAAATATTGACAGGGTGCGTGTATTAAATATATTATTATTAAATTAAAATATCTTTGTAAAGCGCACAATTTTCTGCTCTTGGGAATTTAAAACAGCTTCTTAAAAGGGTTCTTTATGCATAAAATTTACTTACGTCAAGCTTTCATCACGTGTGGGTTCAGCAGAGTGCTGAGGCATTCAAATAATAACAATACGTTAATTCAATAGTTTTCGTTTTTGGGGACACCCTGGGGTGTCCCCAAAAAACTACTGTACAAACTATTGAAATAATTACGTACCGGTTAGAATTCGAATGCCAGCTGAGCACTAACAATACTCTGCTGAACACACAAGTGCATAAAAGCTTGACATAAGTAAATTTTATACACAAAGATAAACTGTTTAAGAAGCTGTTTTAAATTCCCAGGAGCAGAAAATCGTGTGCTTTACAAAATATTTTAATTTGTTAGGCCCGTTTTAGGTCCGTTTCATACGCCGTACTTCACATGTGCCGAATACATTAAAGACAATAGGTAGTGAAATGCCTCATTATCTATTGTTTTTAATGTATTCGGTACATGTGAAGTACGGCGTATGAAACGGGCCTAATACGTCGAATTTTGGTCGCGTCGAATGCAATCAAGACAATAGATAATGAGATGATAAACCTCATTATTAAGCTTCATTATCTATTGTTTGAATCCATGCATTCGACGCGACCGAAATTCGACGTATAAAACAGACCTTAATATTTATAATATATGCACTCTGTCAATATTTTACGCATCTTTGCGTCCAGCTTAGTGCTGAGGCATTCAAATTCTAACAATACATTTTTTCAATAGTTTACGGGGTTTTTTGGGACACCCTGTAGTTAAAATACGAGCGACAGATCCGTGTATGGGTATTCACAATGGCGAGTGCGTAGCACGAGCCATTGTAAAGCCCATACAGCTAGATCTGTACATACGTCGCGAGTATTTTAACGTCTTGTGAAATGAATATATTAAGCTTATAAAATTATTTGCTTTGTTCGTTTCGGCATTTTTGTGCTGAGGTATTCAGTCGTTAAGTATCGCCGGAAGAGACACCATACAGTACTGTACAGGGTGTATAAAAAAAAACGCAACCTCGGAATTTCCCAAGAAATCGACATTGTTTTAAAGACAAAAGATTTTAGGCGCCTGGCCGGAATTTAAAATAGCACAACTGTCAAAATTACTGCACACGCGAGTGCATAAAGCAAAATTTATGCATTTATTTAATGCACAACAACAGTAATATGACTATTAGCAATTCGATTTCAATTCCCAGGGGCCTAAAATATTTTATGCTTAAGAATTGCAAAGTGATTTCTTAGGAAATTCCGAGGTTGCGTTTTTTTTTTACACCCTGTACAGTGTGAAAATACATATGAATTAGATTTTAAGCGTTCAGTCTAGTTCACGAGTTCGTAGCGATAGCCTCATGTAGAGTATTGTGATGACAATATTTGCAACAACTTGATTTCTCGAAAAATGTCTTGTCGTTTTCGTGAGCCGAAGAAGTTAGATGAGGAAAGTTTGTTTGTTGAAGAATCAGTGCCCAAAAATACGCGATATAACACAAAGTAGGAAAAACGAATATTTGTGGAGTTGCAGAACAATCAGCTTGATAAAACAGCGTGTGTTGATGTCGCATCTGATGAACATGATTCGCTACAGATCGAAGATTTAACAGTGCTTCTACCAGAAATGTCGGTCTCTATACGTTGCTCATTGACTCAGCAAGTTTGCTTGCGAAGCGGAACTGAAAGTAAATGGCGAACGTTATCTTCCTAAAAATGTGTATTGATTATGTGCGGCTTAAATCGCTATTTAGCTGATATAAAAAGAGAGGAAGGATTTAATATTTTGGACAGAGGTGACACTAAGGTACACACTTTAATATCATTTTACTTTACTATGCAATTTCTTGCTAACAGTTTAGTGGGTAATTTAGAACTACCATTGTGAAATTCACATACTTCGATGAAATGTGCAGGTTTAGTGGAGCTGCTCAAGCTTGGAAATAGTCGTAGTACTAATAGAACCAGCAATGGGGAAAAGATATGCACCAACTCAGTGTTTAATAATCACCATTAATTTCGTGGTAAATGAGAAAAACTGATACCACATTCCAACGAGGCAACGTACAGACAAGATTGACACTATGTATTGTGACATCGATTCCTTGTGTCAGAACATTACAGTTGTGTAATTAAAAAATAAAATTGCTTTAATTTACAAGCATCATGTTTATTCCAGATGGAAGAATGTATTTTGTCCGAATGAAGATAAATGCTAATTAGAGAAGATCTTAGTAAAGTTATGAATACATATTAAGGCATGTGTGAACACATTAGGGCATATATATGAATACTAATTAAGGATTACTTGTATCAAAGTTAATATATGAATTCATAATTCGTCAACCCCAGCTTTTCCCTAGTTTGTTCTCAATATCACTCCCCAAGCTTATAAGATAGTTGAACTTTATGGAGGATTACAGATGCATGTATACATGTGACCAAAATACTGCGCTATGATTGTAACTTATTGGACTCATTAATTATGCATGAATTTCACAAAGAAAGTTTATACATTTGTAGTCTGAAGCGCATATTGCGGTGCAAGCCATGCATGATAACTGTCACAAATAACGAAACGTTGATATACTAATTGTAATAAATGAAATAATGCAATTGTTTACGAAAACAGAGACGTCATAAAACAAGCACACTGTTTAAATTTTCGATACATATTTATTTAAACAAACTGTTAATTGTGCATCCCAGTTACTACTTCAATTAAACGGTGTCCAAAAAATCAGCTATTTATTTTCAAACGTCTTGTATACACGTCAACTTTTGATGTTCATAACCTAACGTACTGGCAACATTATAAGCTTTTTATTTTGTAACCTAAATAATTGTAATCAATCAAAATTAAAATGCAACATACAAAATTATACACGAAAACTTTTAAAGGTGATCTACAGACTACAGTCGGTATGTAAACAAAGCCTTTGTTTACATTTTTGTGTCCAAAATATTGAGCTTTATTCGATAACTATTTATATTTTCAAGCTTCTAGAGTATAATAAATGATCAAGAAACAACAATCAGGCTTTTCAAGAACTCAAAACATAGTTAAACTGTTTGTATCATAAAAAGTGGGCTCATTTGTGCACATGCGCAGATCGGACTGTAGATCACCTTTAAGTTTTGTGTTAGCAATTCTTGCATAGTTATATAGATAACATCAAACGACGTATTAAAATACATACTGATTATTATATGCAATCTACGCGGAATAGAGAGGTTCAAATTTGACTTCCACTGCCACCACCATTAATGACGGACAATTAACCAATCAGTTGCGTTTGATGTACTGATCCATGCAATTAATCAATAAATTGCGCGCGAATTATGGCCAGTGAGATATAGAGGTATAGTCAAATCTCTAACTTCTCTAAACCTCTCTAATGACTATACTATATTCGAGAAAATTTATTCAACATTAAAGTTCGTCTAATTTAGCCTAACTTTACCAGGAAAATGAAATGCTTAAACTACCGAATTATTTTCAAAAGTTGTTGGGACACTTGCGAGTTTTAGATCATCAGTGTATACAGCTATTTCAATTAAAGTTGTCCCCAGGCAGAGCGGAAAAGTCGAATACGAGCGCGAAAGGCTTGCTGGAAATCGCTAAAAATTCATTAATTTTTTAGCGATCCCCAGCAAGCCTTTTGCGCTCGTATTCGACAAACCTTTAGCGATTTCCAGCAAGCCTTCCGCTTTGCCCGTGGACATGCAACTTACGAACATTTATATCCCCCCTCCCCCCACTATATATCTAGTCATATTGTATCCGTTCGAAGCATGCTGTTTGTCATTCGCCCGAGAATTAATAGATTAATTAGTCGGTGGGGCAACTGTGGTGCCCACCGACTCTAGGTTTGCTCTTTGGTACGCCACAAAATGACAAATTACGTCATTTTAATTACGTAATTCTTACGAAATCAAAATCAAAATGGCGACTATGGAATAGCGTGCAAAAGTTCACTATGGACTATTTGGGCAGTCGTGTCTTTTCTTTTGGGTTTTTTTGAAAGGAATTATTTAGAATTCACTAAAAGTTATCACGACGTTTCACTGTTATGTTATCGAGGAGGGAAGTGGATATTTTGTACATAATTTTATATATTTAATTTAAAGTTTGTATCGCGCGGCGGAGGTATCGGGCACGCAAATGTTGATGCTTTCTATATATTTACTACTGAATTTTCGAAATCTCCGGCGCGCAATTTCCAAACTTTCCAGTTAGTAATAATATTTTGGTCTTTTGGATCTACATATTAAATTAAACTTAAAGCCAGACATCGCCTGCTTCTTTCGAGTCTACATCCTATTCCTATTAATTTTAAATAGCATTGAAGGATTAAGGTTCATTGGGACAGAATGACTTTGTATTACCAAAAGCTGAAAAGGAGGAACTCAATTTCCTGATGTCGTGTGGAAGTAACTTGGAATCTTTCTTACGACAATAACATTTATCACTTATTTACTGAGACCGAGGGAAACAGTGTGTTTTGTGGATCCGAGACCGTCGAGGCGAAGCCCAGGGAAACATCGACGGTCGAGGGTCCACAAAACACACTGCTTTCCCGAGGTCTCAGTAAATAAGTGTTTTATTATATATCAATAGTCAAAGAAACAACAAATTAAAGAACAAATGAACGTAAATACATGAAATATTTTATTGTTAAAACGTTATATTAAACACTGGCTATATACTGCAGTTACTTAAAGCGAAAGTTTTAATTATGTACTAGGCATGTCCAAAGGTCGCATCTTCACGTGATGGCGCACGTGATTTTTTTTGTTATTCGCCGGTCGATAACGTATTAGAGAGTTTAAGATCTACGACGCGGCCGGCTCAACGACGCGCTTGCAAAAGAAAGAAATCTGTCATGCAAGACAAAAACTGTGAATAAATTTGTGGTCCCAGGTACCTTCTCAACGGCTTTGTCATGCTCAGCAGAACGTTAAACCACAGGCGGCCCAATTTCGCAAGGGTCAGTATAGACTTATAGTATAAGTATATCTCTTATAGTATAAGTATATCTCTAATACGTTATCGACCGACGAATAACAAAAAAAATCACGTGCGCCATCACGTGAAGATGCGAACCTTCAAAAACTTAATATACATCCTGTTCTTACTAACTGGGTGTCAGCCTTCCTGTCAAACAGAATGCAAGCAGTTCGAATTGCCGGAGTACTGTCCGACTGGAAACGTCCGAATGGCGGAATCCCGCAGGGAACAAAACTGGGTGTAATATTATAATAATAATAATGGTATTTTAATAACACATCATCGCATGAAAATGAATTACAATGTGTTTTACAATTGATTTGAATGGGAATTACAATACTAAAAGTAACTATATTACAATGTATCATTAGATTATTAAATAAGAACTTATAACTAAAAACAATTATTTGTTTAAAACACTAATCATGCTAGGGAAAAAACTATTACCAAATCTATCAGTTCTACATTTAAAAGAAGCGAATTGTTTAAAATTCCTTAAATCATACACATGTTCGTTTTCACTGGTGAGAGTTAGATGGGAAGAAAGACGACTGCCCAATGCAATATTTTTTATCGTCTTTTCGCAAAGTTCACCCCGACGTATATCCAGCCTAGGACACTGCAACATTTCTTGCGCTTCACCGTAGGATCGACCTGGCAGTATAATCCTCAGTGCTCGTTTTTGAATTTTCTCGACTTGTTCAGACAGATACATAGGTAGACCACAATGCCATACTGTACAACAATATTCTAATGTAGATCTAATCAATGCATAATAAATTGTGATAAGGTCGTGCGGTGGAATCCCTCCCCGTCGTAGGACACGTAGGATATGCAGTCGCTTGGATGCTTTGGTAACAATCATCGAAAAATGTTGGTTCCACTTAAGGTCATCCTGGATAATCAATCCAAGAACCTTGTGCGACGATACACATTCTAAGATCTGGTCTTCAACACACAAGTGTGGTAGTTCAGGTTTGTTCCGAAAGAAACAAATTTGCATCTCTTTGCATTTCTTTGCGTTCAATTTCATCAGGTTATTAGATGCCCATGTAGCTATAGAAGTTAAATCAGACTGGATTACAGACGGTTCCCCATTCCTTAATAATCCCTCAGAGATAGTAACCTCATCAACGAATTTCCAATTGCTAGGCCTCCCCGAACTGCATTGTAAATCATTGACCATAATTAAGAACAGGATCGGACCCAACTTCGTACCTTGGGGGACACCGGCTGTGACAGGAAGCCAACAAGAAACAGCTTCCGCAAGTTTGACCCGCTGTCTTCGCCCTGATAGAAAGTTTACGATCCATGGTATTAACGATCGCCTAACGCCAATATCAACAAGTTTTTGGATAAGAATGTTATGGCCAATACGGTCGAAGGCCTTTGAAAAATCCAAAAAGCATATGCGAAGAAAATGACCAGTTGAATCCAAATGAGAAAGCCAACAATGCAACATGTCGAGCAAACAATAG